TGCCGCGTGGTTGCTGGACGTGCCGCCCCTCTCCAGAGTGGCTGCCCCAAGCACCTGCTTGCCAAGCTGGTGCCTGGAGCCGGCCCTGTCCCGGGGGCATCATTTGAACCTCCATCAGGACAGTGGGTGGAACCGCTGAGGTGTTGTTAGTGGCCGTCTCTAATCACAAGCGAGTGTTTGATCCAAGGAGGAGAGGTGCCGTCGAGGGCGGCTGAGGAACGTGTTCTATAAAGCTAGGATGGTAACAAGCATGGAGTGGAGCTGGGGAAGATACGGGGAGGGCTGTCATTTTGCCTGCAAGTTCCATAATTGGGGAGGGACATCGTTACATCAGCGATTGCTGTGATAACGGATGATAAACTCCCTAGTACGGAAGGTGATGCCGTGCTCAACATGGATTTTGGAATCGTCCAAAGCAGGACAAATGTTCTGGGAAAGGTCATTGTAACCATGGGCTGGGATCGTCAACACAGCCGTAGGAAGCCGGGCATCCAGCTGTCGCTGAATTGCAATGATTGGACCCCAGCTCGGAAAACCACAGTCACAGTCATAGAATTCAACGCCAGAAGGACCCACCAGATCACCTAGACTCACCTCCAGTAGCCTCCCCCAGCGCCCAGACACGACACCCAACAATCAGTATCACAGCTCACAGGAGACTCAACCTACATGCCATGGGGAGTGGCTAGGACAGGGGTGGCCAACCTGAGCCTGAGAAGGAGCCAGAATTTACCAATGAACATTGCCAAAGAGCCACAGGAATACGTCAGCAGCCCCCATTAGCTCCCCCGCCCCACCCGCTCCCAGCGCCTGCTGCCCACCGGCAGCCCCACTGATCAGCACCTCCCCCTCCCTTCCCGCACCTCCCAATCAGCTGTTTCATGGGGTGCAGGAGGCTCTGGTGGGGAGAGGGGGGAAGGAACGAGGGCACGGCAGGCTCAGGGGATTGGCGGTAAGGGTGGAGTGGGGACAGGGCCTGTGGCAGAGCCAGGGGTTGAGCAGTGAGCCCCCCCGGCACATTGGAAAGTTGGCGCCTGTAGCTCCGGCCCCGGAGTCGGTGCCGATACTCTGGAGCCGCAGGTTGGCCACCCCTGGGCTAGGAGGAGCCGAGCTGCATCAATGCCTGAGTTCACTGCAATGGCAGGGAACTGGTTAAGTGAGAGATGCCCAAATAATCCTGGCAAGTGACCCTCATCCCTTGCGGCCGAGGAAGGGAAACGGCCCCCAG